CATTCAATTCATTCTCTCACTTTGCTAATCCCAACATAATACATACAGTAGGCATCACTTTGGCGCAAGTCGATTTTTGCACTCTTGCAAACAATGCCTCCTGTTCATCCAAGCGTCAACACATACCACACCAAAATGATACCAAATGATTTGGGATAAAACACTCTTTCATAAGATGTATAATAATTTACTGTTCATAGATGATTATAAAAATAATTAGCAATTTTCTTGGTGTAAACTTTTTTTTGACTCACACAATATTTTCTTTAGAGATCAGGTAATTTCGAAGTTTTTTGGCATCCACTTCCATTACTTTTCGCTTTTTGATACGATTTTCCTGAACTTCTATCTGCATTAGGTCTTAGAGACCCTCTCCTACATGCCACCCTCCCCCCTCTCTCTCTCTCTCTCTTTCTCTCTTTATTTCTCTCTCTTTCTCTCCCTCTCCCTCTCTGTCTCTCTGTCTGTTTCTATCACAGACATACACACACCATGAACACACGTATTCATGAAGGCTTATCAGGACTCACTCACTTTATTATGTACTTTTCGATCTCACTTATTGTTTTAAAAAAAAATCAATTTAGTTTTTGTATAACAGCGAATAATTTCTATGAAATTAATCATGCTTATAGTAAACCATGTTAAACCAAATCAAACCAAATGGTATTTCTTAATCGAGAGTTAAACTAAGCATTTCATAACTCTAATTTTGAAAATCGGTATAAAGATATGCACAATAATTGTACAAAACAAATAATTTTTAATAATAATAATAATAATAACCTAGGCTTTTATAGCACATTTCATCTTCGAAGAAAGATGATACAATAAATAAAGTATTTGTTGAAGGCAACCATCGCCTGAATTGTATGTGTCAGACAGTCGTAGCGGTTTTTCACTGTCACCCTATAGTGTTTTCCCGCTCCTGCATGGGCAAGCAGTGTCGATGTAGGGAGCATAAAAACAACTTGAAAAAATGCATTATTGGCAAACACAAGTTGTTTGAAGTAAATTCAATTTCATCATATTAAGGCAATTTGTTTAAAATAATGCTATATTTACTTGAACCCACTATCACAACACGGGGTATATTGGCTTTCAACGTCATTGTTTATTTAATTCCCTTATGGAGATAGTCACGAATACTATATTTCTCTCTTTGATGCTTCATTTACCTGGACATTCATCAAAATCGACATGATTATGATAATTGATCTAATATAATTTATATTTAACACATAATAAAACTGATTATCTAGATAGAGAATATATTTTGTTCTGAAAAAAGAAAAACGTTTCTTATTTTTCTTTGCTACTTTAAAACAGATTCGTCTTCTACCATTGTCTGCAACGGAAATTGGGGAAATTATCTTAAGTCGAACAATCTTCATCCGATGTGGAGACAGCGCGGGAGCAATGGAAATATGTTATCCACGGGGTTGCCCACAAAGGCGACCGCATGCCATTGCGTTTCCTTCCGAACTGTAGTCATCTACCTGCTGTATACCCCGTAAGATGCTTCCAGCGCTTTTTGAGCAAACCCACCTGTCGGGTTGGTAGACAATGTAATAGAGAAGAAGTAAAACAAAACATTTCTGACTTGCAATATTGTACTTACATGTAGATTCTGAATGAAGAAGTACTGTGGAACTCCATTTCCGCTTTAGTTTAAATTACTTTAAAGTGGTCTACGTGCACGGTGTTTTTTTTAAACAGTTTAAAGAAAAATTACACGTAGAAATGAATACGTGGATGTCGTATCTATTACTCATAATCATATCTCGTAATAGCATCCGAAATGCATATCAAAGTCAGGGAAAAGAAAAAGAAAAATCGAAACGATTTAGGAAGTTCTTGGATTATCTGCCTCCGAGTGATGTATCGTAATTCAATTCATTGTTGCGGGTAAGTTTAACGGGCGATTAAGATTTTTCGAAAAACAAACGGCTCAAAGAAAATATTGAGAAGGAAAGAAAGAGAGCAAGAGAGAGAGAGAGAGAGAGAGAGGGAGGGAGAGAGGAGACATATATAGAATGGAGAGAGGGGAGCGAGATGGTAGAGAGAGGGAGAGAGAGAGAGGGAGGGAGAGAGAGAGAGAGAGAGAGAGAGAGAGAGAGAGGGGAGGGAGGAAGGGCTGGAGGAAATTTAAAAGACAACCTTAATCTTTAGACATTTTATATATGGTCAAGGTGATTATTTCATAAGACCCTACAGATAACTTTTTTTTTTAAAGACAGTATGAGACAAACCGAGACGGGAGAGGATGAGAGGGGGAGGGGGAGAGAGATAGATAGAGAGAGAGAGAGAGAGAGAGGGGGGGGGAGGTAGGGGGAATTCAAAAGACAACCTTAATCTTTAATCGTTTTATATATGGTCAAGGTGATTATTTCATAAGACCCTACAGATAACTTTTTTGTTTAAAGACAGTACGAGACAGACCGAGACGGGAGAGGGGGAGAGGGGGGAGGGGGAAAGAGATAGAGAGAGAAAGAGAGAGAGAGAGAGAGAGAGAGAGAGAGGGGGGAGGTAGGGGGGAATTCAAAAGACAACCTTAATCTTTAATCGTTTTATATATGGTCAAGGTGATTATTTCATAAGACCCTACAGATAATTTTTTTGTTTAAAGACAGTACGGAACAGACCGAGACGGGAGAGGAGGAGAGGGGGGGGGGGAGAGAGAGAGAGAGAGAGAGAGAGAGAGAGAGAGAGAGAGAGAGAGAGAGAGAGAGAGAGAGAGAGAGAGGGGGAGGTAGGGTAATTCAAAAGACAACCTTAATCTTTAATCGTTTTATATATGGTCAAGGTGATTATTTCTTAAGACCCTACAGATAATTTTTTTTTAAAGACAGTATGAGACAGACCGAGCTGGGAGAGGAGGAAAGGGGGAGGGGGAGAGAGATAGAGAGAGAGAGAGAGAGAGAGAGAGAGAGAGAGAGAGAGAGAGAGAGAGGGAGGGGGGTAGGGGGAATTCAAAAGACAACCTTAATCTTTAGTCATTTTAAATATGGTCAAGGTGGTTAATGTAATAAGACCCTACAGATACAAAAAAATAAAATAAAGACAGTATGAGACAGACAGAGACGGTAGAGGGGAAGAGAAAGACGGAGAGAGAGAGAGAGAGTGAGGAGAGAGAATATACCTCGGAAGAGAAAGAGAAAATTAGTAATTATTACTAATTTTCTCTTTCTCTTTTGATTTATTATAAATCATGTGCTCGTTAGTGTCCATCGTTATAATACCTTTCACTGATTGTCATACTGTCATAGATTTCCTAATACTCGAAGAAAGAAGTGGTAAAATACAACTTTTCATTGATATTTCGACAGTCATGATAAACCGTCCGATTGTCTTCTTTTACATGTACGTGTCATTGCGTCAGCAGATAGCGTCACCCTTTCGTCATTCCATCATTCTCCTTGACGACAACTTTATCGAGAAGCAAATTAACTGCCATCACTCCTTTAATTCGTTGTCGCCGTAAATTGGCATTAAGTTCATGTACAAATACAACTGTAAATAGTCTACTCGATCTTCTTGTCCAACTTCAGTCCCATGCGTACGCTCTTGTGTATTCTTTGTTCCTTGTCTAATGTATCACAACTGTCAATGCAACGCAATGGATCGCCCTTTTAGAAGGTATGGGGAACAAGAGGAAATTAAAAAAGGGATTCGTCCAGGTTTTAATTTGTAGATTATTAACCAACATTCAAAGCAAAGAGAATGTCAAGTAGGTTTAGTTAGATGGCAGTCTACCATATACTAGGTTTAGCTCTGTACATAATAGTCTAGATCAGTCTCGTTATATTCGTTATTAAGTTGTAATGTTATGCCCCAACAACTCTGCGCTTTATTATCCGATGTAGCACCATTTACAGTCATGTTTCATTCTGCCAGAGCGGTCAGAGTGCAACCCCAGCAAGTATTTCATTAAATACGCAATCGCTTCTTTTATCAATGATTTATAAATTAATCTAAGATTACATGACTGATAGTTTTTTTTTCACTGCAAATGGTCAGTTACCACGAGTTTTTGTGTGAAACAGTATTACAAATAATTTAAAATCGTAGGCAAAGTATGAGACCTTTTCAATTTTTCAAAGTAGCAAACAATCATTTCCTTTACTTGTGTCTATTTTTTATTTGTTATTACCTGTTTATTTTTCCAGTCATCTACACCTTCTACTTTGCTAATTCAGGATGTCGTGGAGTGATCAGGCTCTACCAACGCATCTTCAATTTTCTCTCAAGTGCCTCCACACTTTAGACCCAACTCAAAATATATTATGGAGAGTAGGCCTACATGTATATCATTACAGATTCTCTCTAAAAAAAAAAAAAATTACCATTCCGAGTCATACATAAGATTTCAGTCATTTTGTGTGTTGGCACAAATGGGAAAATAGTCACTACACCAGAATCATCAAAATCAAAGAACGTTTTATATTCCCTATTTACAATGCCCAGCCAAGACGAACTCATGAATAAACAAAGAAGTGTATATCTATAATTATACTCTTGAATGGTGGTGGTTATTTTACCTGACTGCTAAGAAAGCATAAATGATTGTAAGTAAGTAACCAGACGGCCGACGGCTTTAGGTCCTCTCCGAGGGACCTGATAATGAGGATTAATGCCTTACCAATGGGCACTAGTGCATCGCCTTGGTTTCGAACCCGGGTCACCGGATTACGAGACCACTGCTCTATCGACTGAGCTACTCTTATGTTCTTATCTATTGATAAAATAAAAAATAATATTGTTTTTTGTTGTAAAGTCCTCGTTATTTTAGTACAACTAACCTATTAGAACGATAGGAGCTAATTGAAGTGAAAAAGGAGGTATATTCTACGAAAAATTACACAAGCCTGTCATTTTCTTTACTAACACATGAAGACGACGTTGTCCTTTTTGCGCATGACTTGAAAGTACAATGTCACGTGACTATGACGTATACTTAGCTGCCCACTGTTTATAAACGCGAGAAGAGTTGGTGCAGTCATTCGCTGAAAGAAGTTAGGTGATGGAAGCGCGATTTATGAGATATCGCATTTCACATCAGAGAAGTGCATATGTCTCGGTCACTCCTGATCATGTGTTTTATTGGAAGCTGAGACTTTGGAATCTTTCTGATACAGTGAATACTCCAAACAAGCATTATGACTAGGACAACGTATCTCTCTCCTGTGACTACAGAGTCAGCAATCATACATCGATTAAATATTTCTCTCTTTGAAGGTCTTTCAAATTATACCACTGCTGCGAACTTCTCAGATTATGACTTTTCATATTTCACGGAATCGCCTGATTCCAATTCCAGCATATCGAAAACACCAACTTTCGAGCTGGCCTACCTAATACGAATCATCACGCTCTCCACCATCCTGGTTCTCTCAGTGCCTCTCAATTTCATTGTCCTCCTCACTGTCTGGCGACAACGAGGTCGAAAATCCCGCGTCAACCTCCTCGTCCTCCACCTCACCATCGCCGATCTCCTCATCACCTTCATCAACATCTCGACCGATGTGGTGTGGTTCTGTACGGTGGCCTGGTTGGCGGGGAATACCATGTGCAAGCTCATCATGTTCATGGAGACGTTTGCGATGTACGCGTCGTCGTTTGTCCTGATCGTCATCAGCATCGATCGTTATGCCGCCATCGTTCACCCGCTCAGCGTCAGGGCCGCAGACAGGCGATGTAAGATCATGTTGAGGGTGGCCTGGGGATCAGCAGCTGTTTGTAGCATACCTCAGGTAAAACCACTCGATCATTATTTTCCTGTATTTAAAAAAGAAGTGACCGAGCGCGGAATATCATGAGATGACATTTATTAGTGTTGAAATAAAAACATTAAAATGGAACGAAAGAATAAAAAAAATGCCGAATATCATAAAATAACTTTCTCGGCATTTTAAGGGAGAGAGATGTTTCGCAAAACGCAATGAATCTAGCGTTTTAAAGATTTTTGAAAACCTGTCAATATTTTAATGTTAGGCCACTTTCCAGTAAAAGTATATTAAACATTTTAGTTATTGACGATTCCAAGTAATGGCGTTTGAGAACAAATCAACTCTGCACATATCACGAAACTTGTTCATCTATCCTAGTTTGAAAAAGAAACAGAGCTCGCTAGTTATTTGTAAATGGATGACTTTATGGATGAAATTGTGATTAGTTTAATAGCATTAGTGGAGTTTATTTCAATGGCGTGAAAAGCGTGGAGAGGGCAACTGGGGGAAATGCGACATCAGAGCAGGGAAGTCCCTGATCAGAGTATCTAAATTTGGCAATATGATACCCTATAAAAGTCATTTATCCCCTGGGCCTTCGATCACGAGGGTTCGGGGTTCGACACCTGATATGGAACGTATCCCTTAAGATATTTTTTAAAACCCCTATAGATGTCTTATTTGATCCATGTGAATGCCGACCCGGTGGAATGACAGAGAAACGTGAGCTATGTTGATGGATAGTATGCGCTTAACGAATCCTGCTCCTTGGAAAATAAAAATGATACAATAAAACTACATCTTACAATTACAGAAAAATAGACGTACCCCAGATAGTTTCGGTACCTATAAGGGTCGGCTACCATATTAGATTGCACGGAGGCATCCCTTCTGATGTAAGTTAAAGCAGAAAATAAGATAAAATGGGTAAGCGAAGTTTTAAGATAGATAGTGATGAAAAGAAACGATTCCTAAAATATTGTAAAGTTGAGAAGTTGTGAAGATTCTTACACGTATGAGCAACTATGTGATCTCATTTGCGAGCAACAGAATTGTGTGTGGGCGCATGTGTGTGTATGTGGGTGTGCTTGTGCGTAAGAATGTTTATATATTCACTTTGCAAACACGTGACCAACTATAAAATTTACCCTTATTATTTCTTAATGAGAAGTCAATTCCTTCTTTGTCGCTTATAGTGAGCAATTAATATGCATGAACAAAGAAGTTTTAAACAAATTAAGTAAGCGAAATGAGACCATAGTTCTGCATTAAAAGCATACCTTTTATTGTTATTAGAACTATTTGTCACTTAATACAAGCCTTCATACAAAGGTTGATGATCTTGGAAAACTCATAAGAGAAATCAAGAATTTATCTGATTTTTAAACCATATTAAGTTTGCTATTTACACTACAAAATTGGTCAACAGAATAGGGTCCAGATAGGCATAAAGATGTAGGTTATTCTCATTTTCGTTTGTAAGGAAAGATGAGAATAATTTGTAATCACCTTGGGACTTGGGCATCCGGGCTTTTGATAGTACACTCGAAATATTGAAAATACAGACGTCTTTACAATATTCCATTTGATTAACGTGTATCCTTTGATCTAAATTTGTGTTTATGTTTCTTTTTAAATAACATTCTTTTGGGAATTCAATTGTCATTCGTATAGGCATAGCTGGTACAATTCCTCCTAATCCTCAGTGGAGGTATTCTTCCGTGAATGCCCTCTCCAAAACAACCCACACAAAATGCACTTCAGAATATTACGGCCCGATCTACTTGTTGTTTGTGATGTAGAGCAATACTTCACGAAGGCATCTTTTTACCTGGTATTTTTAGAATCAAAGAACCCGAACAAGCCTTGACATTTTCTTGAGGAAAAACAGCTTGATTTTTTTTTTTTTTTTTTTTTTTTTTTTTTTGGGGGGGGGGTCTCTTTGTTTGCTTGTTGTTGTTCGTTGTGAGTGTATTGTTGTTACTTGTTGTTGTTGTTTTTGTGTAAATGGAAATGGAACTCCTCGAACACACAGGTCCCCTTGTACCTGTGAGCCATTATATTTCACATTGTAGATCTAGCTTGGAATAATAGACAAGAACATATTTAGTGATATTTTGGTCTGGATTCACACGCTTATAAGTAAGATTTTAATCCCGATTAAAATAAAAAGAAGCATGATTTCAAAATGTCATCAATTGCTGTACGTGTGAATATCCGGAAACAGAATCGCGGAACACGAAAAAGCGAAGCTGATATTTTGGGGCGCTAAAACAAAATAAAACAATTCAACTTAATATGGTTCTGTAAATTTCTCCAGTCTAGAAATGTTCGCGTGTACCGCCGCCAAAATAGTTTGAGAAATAAGCCCATAGGCTCACCACCGGTTTAATTTCCGTTTTCATGTAGTCGATCATAGAAAGGAAATCCCTCCAGACATGCTTATTAAGTTGAATACAGTCTAAATGTTTTTCTTCCCAGTGCTTCCTGACAATAAATAATACAAAAAGGTGAATTTAGGATGAATTACATGCTTATCATAAAAATAAAACACATTCCAAATTCAAGTTGAAATAATGTTCCTACCTAAAAGAACGTAATGACTTATTTTTGTCAAAGCAGTTTATGAGATATTGATGGTCGGGACTATTATGATTATTAGCTCGATTTGTATGTCTTTATGGTTGTGTTTAGTACCCAGTTACAATGTTCTTTCTACCGAAATTGATGGCATATTGGAGACCATGAAAGCTAACTTGAATTACATTCATTATGCCATTATGTGTCGAATAAGATACGTTAAGCACGAGTTCATTTAACATCACAAATGAGAAAGAGAGAGAGAGATAGAGAGAGAGAGAGAGAGAGAGAGAGAGAGAGAGAGAGAGAGAGAGAGAGGGAGAGACATGTATAAGGAGGTAAAGCAAAGAAGAATTATAAGAAGGGAAGATACAAAAAGCTGTCTAGAGAGACAGATAGATAGATAGATGGCGTGATAAATAAATAGATATATAGAAGAAGAGAGAAACTGAGACAAGATGGTGATATTTGGAATGTATTGTGAGCGCATCACTAAGTATTAAGGACAAATCAATTCAAACACGTCAGTGCCTCCCTCTTCCACCTTGGTGGAGATTAAGCAGTTGAGATTTTTTCCTGAAGTGGGCCCACTTTCGCTGTATCCAAAAAGGACGCAATAAATATTCAACAAAAAGAATCGCAGACGGTCTTCGTTTCTTGCAAATACATTTTGAAACGGAAAGTGTGATATAAGACTGCATCTTACCCGTTTGAGATTTAATATGAACTTTGTTTTAGCATGGATAGAGTTAACACAGTCAGACACAGATTTAGCACTCCGGAAGTGGCTCTGCTTATTTAAGTGAAATTTGGTAAGGAGTATTTGATATACACCAAAGCTCCAATGATCTTTTAAATGGGGAAAAACGAGCATGGGGAGGGTGGCTGGGAGAGAAATAGACATTATGGAGGGTAAAAGAAAAAGGGGGAAGCGAGGGAGAGAGAGAGAGAGAGAGAGAGAGAGACAGACAGACAGACAGACAGACAGAGAGAGAAAGAGAGAGAGAGAGACGGAGACAGAGAGACAGAGACAGAGACAGAGAGACAGAGAGACAGAGATAGAGGCAGAGGCAGAAGGGTGGTGGAGAGAGGCGAAAGTGAGACATGTGAGAGGGGGGAAAAGGAAAAAGGGGAAAACGAAACAGAGAGGGAAAGCTAACAGAAAAGGAAGGACAAATAGGAGACAAGGATGGCTAGATGGAGAGAGAGAGAGAGAGAGAGAGAGAGAGAGAGAAAGAAAGAGAGAGAGAGAGAGAGAGAGAGAGAGAGAGAGAGAGAGAGAAAGAGAGAACAAAAAAGGCGGGGAAGATTTGGAAGATGGTTGGCGCATTTCTGAGTACCTCTTCAATCTCAATGATTCACCAGATTAGAAAAGAAAATACAGTTAATGTTTCGGACATAATCTCTTCATCTTGAAGACACAATCTTTAGAAATATATTCACTACAAAATAAAGACTACAAAACAAGTTTTGCTGTTAATAAATGTTTTAAAAGATAACATTTATTCTTGCTTATCTCTTGCCCAAAAGTTAAGTCTGGTACTTGAACCCTTATGAATTAAGTTAATAAATAGTAAAATCAAAGTCTAAAAAACAATCAGTGGAAGATTTGGGGGCAAACATGACTTGTGCCACCGTCCCTCTTAAAACCTAGTTTGAAACTTTACGTACAAAATGTTCCCCCTTATTTTCTTTTTAATTGTGTGTGTGTGTGTGTGCGTGTGTAATTGGGTTTTTACAGACATGTATCAATCAGATATGATTATTGACGTCTGGGGACCGACCTTTAACGTCACCATTCGAAAGATGTGACTCAGTTTCGAACCTGCGTTCTCGGCTGAATCAGTTTGTAACTTCCATTTTTAGCTGGATTGCAGGCGCACGCCAAAACGACCCGTTTAATTGTGCCCCCCCCCCCCTTAAAAAAAAACCCTGAATCCCCATGTAATGGACGTTCATTGATCCGCTGGATTCGACGGAACGTCGAGAGATCATTCTCAAGAGTAATAAGAGATTTTTCGACAGTTTTTTTTTCAACCTCAAATCACATAACCTCCTCCAATTTTAACAGACTCGTACAAAAGAAATCGTATCGTTTTCCACTATTGGCTTTAGTTTTGATTTACGAGTAATCAGTATCGCATTAGTATAACGTTGCTTTATATGAACCTTGAACCCGAATCGAATAGGTATCACATGGGAAACATAACTACCGTGCATTTCAATTTAAAAAAAGGTTGAGTACTGAAAAAGGTGAACAATATTCAGTGAGCTTTCTCATTTTGTTTTTATTCACATATGGAGGAATATATTAATGTCACATGAAAACGAGTCGCTTTTAAATTGCCCCTTAATCATCACTTCAAATATGTTCAGGATCTTAACAGATTTTCAATCGGATGACGCATGTTTGTGCACCAATCTGTGTTCAATGTTTATTTTGT